GGTATTGGTTCTTCCGACATAAGCTAATTGTTAGTGATATAACAAAACTAATGTTTTTTAATCTTATGCAAAAGGAACTTTCTAATATTAATCTTGTTTTTCTGATATTAATCTTCTGGTTGCAAAAGTGCTTTTATGGATAGTGATAATAACCATAACGTTAACAATGTACATTCTGGCTGCTGTAACTCCTCTTGCTTTATAGTAGAAGAAGTCGATCAATTCAAATACTTAGGTGTGTTTATTGATAGTATGTTGAATTGGTCAGCGCACACAAATGCCATTAAGTCTTATTTGCGCTCTACTTTGCGTTATTTTTATCGCTTAAACAAAATTTGTTCGCAGGAAACCCTCTCGATGTTTTATTATGGCATTTTTCATTCTAAGTTACAATATGGCATAAGTTGTTGGGGTGGTACTTTTAAGAATAAAATTTATCCCCTTCTAATCTTACAAAAATGTGTAATTAGAAAAATTTGCAATAGACATCGTTTATTTCATTGTATGGATTTATTTAGAAGTTTGAAAATTCTTCCTGTTAGACAACTTTATTATTATAAGGTCTTAAAGGTTTTTTTCAGAGATTCTTAGTTAATGTTCCAGTTTTTAGAACAACAAATTACCAAAACTACCAATTTTTGATATAACTTCTGTCCGTTTGTTTAACAGACTCCCACAACCAATACATGCTATTAGAAATTTACATAAGTTTGTCAAAATTATAAAAGAATGGCTTTTATGTTTAGAGCATAGTGAAGTAGATAATTTGTTAAGTAGTCTAATTTAATATTTTTATTTTTTTTTTATTGGGTGTCAAATTTTATATCTTAAATTAAAATCTATATTTTCGGTAAATTATAAATTAAGTATGTACAAGTGTATAATTATATTGTACGGTTAACTAGTATTTTTGCAGATTGAAATTAATAATTGTAATAATATAATATTTTTTTCTATAGAGTATTTGTATTATTATGCAAATGTTGATTTAAATAATAATTTTTAACAACACAATTAGGCATTTACACTATTTTTCTTTAAATAATAATGCCGCTTTCTTATTCTCTTAGTTTAAGTAAAATTTTTGTAATAATTCAGAGAATAAAGTATAATAAATAAAAAAATAAATAAAAATAAAATAATTCTGTAGTCCGAAAGTGGGGTTTCTGGTTCGCGACTGGTACGTATCAGGGGAGGTTTCTATGTCAGATAATCATTCAATTTTGTCTGGGTGATTTGTTGGAGGATAAATCTTCCTTCAGAAATCCGAGACGGACAAACTGGGAGGGATACAGAAGGGACCTAGAGACAAAACTGTCGAGGGCCTCGGTTAGAACTGTGGCCAGGGATCCTTTGGTTTTGGAAAAGGCTGTGGAGGATCTCGGGGGAATTATGGTCGAGGCTTTTGAATCGAACGAAATTTGAAGCCCCATTCGTGTGCCAAGCGATTTCACAGATGTTGATATCTGAGAATTGGTAGAGGGCTGAGGAAAGGATAAGGTGGGCTGTTGGCACTTTCAAACCCTTCAAGGAGTCGAGACTGGATGGCTAGGGTTGTCTTTATTCCCAAAGTCAGAAGAATGGATATGGTGCCCAAGTCATTCAGACCGATTAGCCTCACAGCGTTCTTATTGAAGATGATGAAGGAAATAGTTGATAATTATGTCCGGACGGGGGAGTGCTGGCGAGGCCGCAAAGCGATTGTCAGCACGCGTTTCGGGCTGGGAGGTCGACAGAGACGGCTCTGTTCCGCCTTGCTAGTACCCTGGAGAGCACAATAGAGCAGGGAGAGGTGGCGCTATGCACATTCTTGGACATCGAGTGTGCCTTCGAGAACACTTCACATGAGTCGATTGCATCTCTCTATGGATATCTAACATGTTGGCTACGAGAGTTGCAGAGACTGCTGTGGGGCAGAGCACCCTAAGAATATGCGTGGCCAGAGGATGCCCACAGGCTGGGGTTCTGTCACCGCTAATGTGGAGTTTGGTGGTGGATGGACTCCTTGATGAGCTGCTTCGTCAGGGAATTAGTGCCCAGGCTTATAGTTCAAAAGGGATTACGGGTGGCGCGCGCCTGGTGCGATACTGTGGGCCTCAGGCTTAACCCTAACAAGATGGCCGTGGTGCCTTTCACTAGGAGAGGGAAGCTGGAGCATCTGCGCACAATTTACGTCCAACGGCGGCAGCGTAGGCTGCCATTTTCAGGTTGGGAGAAATGGAGCCAGAATAAATGGAGAGAGAGATCGAGGTGGTCTTGTCGGGGAGGTTCCGTTCCTATCGATGCCTCGGGGCGACATGGTAAAGAGGTGCTCTCCTGCATACAAAAATTGCAATACATACAAAAATTTTACTAACACATTGAAATATTTCTACTTGCTTGTTTACTTGCAGTTCAACTTGCAAGAAAATTTTGCTGCCAGTAATTTGAGCAAGTAATTTGACATATTGAGAAATTCACAAAAAAAAATTTGATGTTTTGATTTTTTTTTTTTTAATTTAAAATTTTTGAATTTTGTTTTGAAAAAATTAAACTTAGCAAACTTATGGTTTCTAAAATTTATAAACAATTATATATATTGCTAGTTGTTTTCTTCTCAAAGACATTTTCAAAAATTAACTTGCTAAACGCCTACGTCATAATAGCAAGTAATTTGACATTTCGAAAAACTAATTGACAATTAATATTATACAAACTTGCTTGCAAGTAACTTGTATGTGTAAATGCTGGCCTACTATAGAAGATTTGAGCAGTATGTCTACTGCATTTCTACTTTTTTTTTAAATTACTTTCCCGTCTATTTCTTCAAGGAATCAAAATATTATTTTCGAGGTTTCAAGTTTGGTGCTGACATATACCTCGTTTATATGGTAGCTTTAATACTTGAATTGAAACGAAATGTCGAAACTCGAGCTGTTTTGATATGTAAATTCGAAAGTTCAAAATTGACATTTAATCATTAAATTCCAAATAATATTAATATTTCAAGCCAAGTAAGCAAAATAAATTAGAAATTTAATAATTGGCCACAAAAACAAGAATTTTTATCTACATTTACTTTGTTCAAAACAAAAATATTAACTTTCACAAACAGCAAGCACAACACTCCCATCGAATACACACACATTTTGGCATTCTAAAACTCGTTCGAATTTGCAGAATTGTGAACTGTAATCTAATGTTGTACTAAGTTGAAGTACGTTTTTTCTTTTACTATCAGCATGTGTTTTTAAAGACCACCTAGATATTTTCAGTTACTCAAAATATTGGTGAATGTGATAAATAAAGAAGAATATCAAATTACAATTTTGTACCAGATATTATAATTCACTTGTGCCAGATAATGTAATGTTGCAATGTTGCACTTTATTTTACATAATTGCATTCTATTCTAGATAATGTAAAATAAAGGAAGTATTTTTAGAAGTGTGTGAAAATAGCAATATTTTGGTATACTTTAGTAATAAGAATTAAAATTGATAAATAAAGACAGTTTTAATCTGGGCAGATGTGTGTTTTTAATTGTTCCATAACGTAATTCAATTTTGATTTAAGCTTAACAGAAAATGAAGGGTTAAGAACGTAAACATATAAATTTTTCTTTAACATTCCATATTGAAAAAATGTTAATGCCTTTGTATCTAACAAGTCCCAATGCTATGAGAGAAACTTCAAAATTTCACCTCTTTTTTTATTTGTAAAAAATTTTTAAAACTTAATATATTACCTGAGTAAAAAAATATTTAAAAAGTTTTAGAAAAGGCAATCAAATATTTTTATGACAGGATTTGAATATTTTTTATTATTGAAATGAATAGTATCTCAGCAAATGACTTAGAAATTCCGAATGTATATATACTGACAGGTAGTAGGTACTTTCGTAAATTTTTGTCCGTTTGCGTTTATTTTAAGATTCATACACAGGCAGGGCCATTTTATAAATAGATTGCTCTTGCTTACCTACTAATTAAATATGAATAAGGGCACAACCAAATTTTTGAAGCACTCAATATAACATGTTCGAAATAGATTTAAAATAATTATTTAAAAAAAATTGATTGGAAGTAGGAAAATACAAATGTATTTTTAATAACTTAAAAACTAACTGAAATTATTTGAAACAATTTTATGAGTAACGTATAAATAACCGAAATGAGATAATTCAAATTGTTGAAATGTGTCAACCTATATTACTTTTTTTAACATTTTTGTTAAAAACTACTCAACTTACCTTATAGGGAAACACAAAATGTGCATGAAAAATCATACATCCATTTCCTCATTAACATTTGAAACCATACTGTAATATGAATTTTTTCATTTTTTCTTTCCTCCTACCTTTCTTTCTTTTTCGTGCAATAGAATTTAAATGGGAAGCTTTTTAAAAAATGTGTATAATATCCTGGGGATTTTTAAAATATTAAACTCTTTTTTACGTAAAAAAAAGAAAGAAATAATAAGAAATACGGCACGATCAGTAGCATTTAAAGAAAAAAACAGGAACGAAGCCAAAAATTCGTAATATTTTGTAAAAAAAATTGAGTATTGGGACTTGTTAGATGCATTTAAAGAAAAAAACAGGAATGAGGGCAACTATTCCTAATATTTCGTAAAAAAAATTGAGAATTGAGACTTCTTAGATATAAAGATATTAAAAATGTTTAAACTGTGCTTGTCTCTAAATACAATCTCTAACTACATATACATACATACATAGATATACTCTGCGACTGTCAGAGATATCTAATATGTATACTAACTTACTATATAGTTCAGTACCTGGTTACTAAATATCCGGCCACAAAATCAAAATTGAAATTATTTTCCGAATTATTTCGAATTCAGTTACGTTACGAAAAGGACCGCTTGTTATTTTAATATTTAATTTTAGACTTTTTTTTTGTATTTAGAAAAATTCAAATAAACATCAGTAGCATATTTGATAAGTAGTTTTCCTTTGATTATATTATATTAAGTGAAAAGTCTCAAATAAAGTTTACCTGATAATCCATAAATACAAGTTTCATGAATCTCGTCCAAGATATTCGTAAGCAAGTTCTTTTTTTTTGGAATAATATATGACTTATTTAAAATTTGAATTAATCTCCGAAATCGAAAACTCTCTATAATATCGAATGGAATGTTGCTTGAATAAATAAATTCTGCTAAATAAAAATCAGTCGATATTTTTTGATTTAAGCCTGGATAGTGGGATGTTTTTTTCAGCTTTGTTGATATGTTAAACGTTGTAGATGTAACTGGAACTGAGCTTGTAAGGGTACCAACACTTTCAGACTTTTTGCCTGTAAATTTCTCGTCAAGCTCTTCCTTCTCTTCAAGTTTTTCCGATACAGGAGATGAATTCTTTAAAAATATACGTAATTCAATAAATATATATGTATGTAAAGTATATGTTTTATTCATATATTACCTCAGAATGATCTTTCAAATAATTGTTTAAGAAGTATAATTGGTTATAACACCACAGTTTGGGCACATATGCGTCACTCTGTTTAGAACTCTCAGCTTTTTTCACAGATAAATACTGATTTTTTAAAGTTTTAATTTTCATGTTTATTTCATTTATAGTAACTCGTTTATTTAATTTTTCCAGTTGTTTAGAAATGTAAGACAAACTAGGGAAAAATGTTTAATATTCTATTTGTCATATATTCTGCAAAGCCTCTTACCTTTCCAAACGTTTCTTTTTATTAAGGAAATCTGGATGGTCATAATTATATAAATTTTCACATTCTTCATATAAAGCGATAAAAGCAGAAAGTTCTGATCTTTTCCAATTTGACATTTAGTTTTTCTATAATATAAATATTAGCAAGTTATTAAAAAAAGTTTAAGCCATATCACCTTATATTACTTTTAACTTCAAATAGAGAATAGATGAGAGATATTGACCAATTTGAAAGGTGTCGATTTATACCGAAACGATTGTCGATATTTTTTTTCAACATCGAAGTGTAAATAATTACGTACACGATATTTCTTGACGACGCCAATATTAAATTTTTTTACTAAATTATAACAATTTAGAGCGTTCTTATGGTTTGCGAAGCGAATAAAATTATTTCGAGAAAAAAGTCAATCAGACATACATCAGAGTCTGATGTATGTCAAAAATCAAATTTTGATAGCAAAATCGAGGGCAGTTCGCAAAACTATTTAAATAACGTAATACAAGATTTCAAATTGACAATGTCAAATTTTAGTATTTTATTAGATATTAAAATAATAACGTAGATAATATTTAAGTAATTATATAATTGTTTATTTTCGTAAATGAAAAATATTTTAATTTAAAATTTTTTTTGCAAATATTACAAAGAAAATTTTTCTGAAAAATTGCCTTTACCAATCAATTTTTTTTTAAATAATTTTATTTCCAAGAAATATATATAATATACATAATATATATAAATTTTTTTTGTTCGAAGGCATAAATTTAAAAATAGCAAAACATTTTTTAAAACACTTTTACATTTTTTGCAGTTCAAATTTTTGTTTTAAATATCATTGATAAGGGGGGGAACGGATAGAATGTGCTTACAAGGATGGGTAGCAGTAACATCCTCTAGCTTCTGTTATCCAACGCCGAAACTCACCTTCACGAGGTCTCGCCTTTTACGCTGAGTAACCCCTTCGAAAGATCTGGTACCAACCCAGGTGGTGTAGATTGGGTCGGCAAACAAACGAGTGGGCGAATTAAGTATTCGCAACCAGGTATTTAACTGAATTGTAGCGTCTGACCAAGAATTGGCGGTTACGAGCGGGCGTCTGACTTGGAGCAAGCGGCTCGCTATATAAATGTGCAATCAACAACACAAATATATAAACCTTATGCAATGGATAAAACAACAGGAATTATTACCCTAGGTGGTACGCCAATTAAGTTGGTAAATCCATCCTCTAAGGAGGTGGGCCCCATGGATTCTGGGGGGGGGGGGCAACTATTGCAACATAACCAAAATTTTCGGGCAGGAAAATCATCATCATCATTTCTGCCACCCATGGAAAGCCTCAACCAGGCTGAAAAGGAAAATGAGCTACTTCGCAACAAACTTTCCAACATTGAGGTGTCAGTTCAAAAGCTTCAGTTGGAACTAAAGGAACTGAGAGAAAAAAACTCGATCTTGAAGGCAGTTCTAACCCTAAACGAAGAAAAAACTAAGGGAAAACAATGTGGGAAGTTGTCTTCCGATTGTGACAGTAGTGAACTTACGGGCTTTGAAACAGATGGTATGCCCTGCACGAAAGCACCTAAACGAACAGCGAAAAAGCGAAAGACAAAGAGCTTTCCTGAAGCCATTGTCGCTAACGATACACCCACAATCAATACATTTACAATTAATATACCCACACTAAACAATATTATTACAAACGTTTTAAGCCACTCTAACATTAATGCCAGTAAAGCGGGTGATAACGAACAAACTTTCACTATAGAAAGAAAACCTTCGCCCATCAATGTGGTCAGAATTGATACCTACAACAAAGTGAAATTAGTAGGTGAAACTGTAACGAAAACATATAAAATAGTAGCACTTAATAACAATGTTTGGAAAATCAGCACTGAAAAAATAGACGTGCTATAGCGAAAATCATCGTGCTATAGCGAAAAAACTCGACAGTGATAAAATAGAATGGTTTACCTACGAGAACAAAATCGATAGGCATATTAAAGTAATGGCCAGGGGCCTTCACTGGACATGCGACAAAAAGGATATTCTGGATAACGTCAAAAGTCAGGACCTCAACATCGTAGATGCAGTAAACATCCTAAAAAGTGAAAGGAAAATAAATACAAGAGGTGAAAGAATAATTAAAAGAAGACCGTTGCCGCTTTTTATGCTTACGTTTGATAAAAGCGATATTATTGATAAAATCTACAAGCTTAGGCAAATATTAAACCTGATAGTGAAAATAGAACCTCCACGAAAAACTGGGAACGTGATCTCCCAATGCAAGAGATGTCAGGACTTCGAAATCACACGAAACGATTCTGCAAAAATAAACCCAAATGTGTCAAATGTGGTGAAAATCACCTTACAATAAACTGCACGATTGCAAGAAATACTGCTCCTAGATGCGCTAATTGTGGCGGAGATCACCCAGCAAACTATCGAGGGTGTGTACTCGTCAAAGAATTACAGAAGAGAAGGGACCTGACAGTCAAGCCACAGACTCGCTCCGCTATTAAAAGTCTAGCTCCTGTGCAGGCTTCTTATAATAACAGTCCAATAGATCAATCTAGTCCAAAAAAGTACAATAAATCAATCTAGTCAAAAATATAAGAGTACAATAGATGGAATAACATATTTTGAAGCTGTTCGTGGGAGTTTTCCCAGTGTTATAGGTAATAAGGACTTTAATCTAAATAGTATAAAAAAAATATTAGGTATAATTATTAAAAAACTTGACGAGCAAAAAATTGCTGAAAAACATATGTATCTGTGATAGAATTGACAAGATTGAAAACAATCTCAACCTGCGGAAAAATAGAAGATGATGGATACAATTAGAATTTTAAACTGGAATGCGAATGGATTTTTAAAACATGCTTTAGAACTAGAAACTTTCTTATACAATAAAAGCATTGATATTGCTTTAATATCTGAAACTCACTTTACTAACGAAAATTTTATAAATATAAAAGGCTATATTTGGAAAAAGCATATCAAAAAGAAAAATGACATCATAAAATCATAAAAATAGAATTCAACATCATCAGAATCGTGAAATGAGTGAAATATCAAGTAATAATGAAGCTCGACGTCTAAGAAGAAGGAGGCCTACCGACCCAATCTGGGGAAATAAGAGAGTATACAGATCTTTGGGGTTACCATCAATGGATAGTTTTTCCCCACTCAACAAACAAGCTAAAAAATAATTGCTCGTTAGGTTCAACTGGAGCTTAGTTGCAATAAACGTTTAAAAAAAAAAAAAATAAAACTTTACTGGTTAAAAGACTAAATATACAAATATTTCAAAAATATTTAACAAATACGATAAATGAACACAGAGCTGTATAGTTCTTTTCATGGCATAGTATAGTTTCAATCGCATAATTGCATTGTTATAAGTTTATAAAAATAAAAAGCTCATAAAATTCTATAAAACTCTGTACAGAAGGACGCAAAAATAATTTCTTAATAGTAACAATGTTAATGTTTGCTCTGAAATAATCGCAGCAATAATTCGTTGTTTCGAGCATTTTGTGATATATGGTATGTTATTTCTAAGTTAACTGTACCCTGGTGTAATCGTAATCAATGAAATTTAAAAATGAGTGTATTTTGTTAAACTAGCTTCTTTATAAAAACTATATTGTTTTTGAGGTGACTTACATATTATGTATATCGCATCATACATTGTTCCGTTATCTGTATTTGGATAATAGTAGTTTAGGGAATCAGAAATTAGGTTTAATAAGACTTTACCATGAAGGAAAAACGATTAACATTATGTCATATAAGGAAAGAAATGTTCGCCAACCAATTTAATGTAATACACATAAGCAATAGAATGCAGAAATATTGAGTAAATATAATTTGTTCTTGGTGAAATAATTATGTACATTTAAAATAAAAATTTGCATTATATATTGTTAAAAAATTAATTTTTTATTGAAAAAATATCTCACATAAATTTCTAACTATGTATGTATATACATATTTCCGGCAGGCCATGGATTCCATTAGTACAATTCTATGAATTGCAAACTTAGCTACGACGTAGATTTTTAAATGATCACAAATTCGTTCCGTAGAGATTATGAATCAGCAACGGCAATACAATTTTACGGAGTGCCAAAATCAGTATTTCATTTCAACTGTCAAATGGTTATCATGCATATCGTTGTTATTTGACTGTACACCTTTCATAAAAAAAATTATTTTTTAGAAACGGAGTTTTGCACTTTTTTTTTGTAGTTTGTGAAAAGCGAAAAAAAATCTAGCAAATATGAATTCATTTCCTTTAATGATGGCTGTAATGGAAGAACTCAAATTTAACACAAATTTAATTTCAATTTAAGCGGATATTTAAAGAAAGAAAATTGAAAACTTTGAAATATAAAACAAACACTCTTTATATTTCTTGTTACGTGTGATTACTTCTTATTCTGTGATTTAGATATCTATAGGAAAGACTTTTTTCATAAGTTTATGAATAAACCCATTTTTTATGGCAACACAAAAGTAGCGTTTGAATGTATATAAGTATTTAATATAAGAATTCAAAAATTTTTAGTTTAAGAAAATAAATCGGGAGCAGTTCACAAAATTAGTAAAACTAATGAAAACTGATGCAGCTTGTGGCAGATTTAAATTCGTAGACCTTGCTCTGAAGTTAAACGCTTTGGATCCAATGAATGTTTTAGTAACTAATGAATTTGATTGATTCCGTTTATATCTTCGTAGCTACTGGTGTACTCATCGCAATAAAATAAATGGCACTTTTTTCAATTTCATAAAATGTAAATGCTAAAATATGAATTAAACTTTGTGTATTCATTTTTCAAATTTTGTATTTATTCGAATCATAACAACCCTAGAAGCAACGCTGCCAAAAGTGAAAATTTATCTTCACAGTGAAATGTTTTGTGAAAAAGCTTCGAAATGAGATTTTTAAATTTTACATATAAAAATATCTTCAAAGTTAGAGTATTTAATGCTACTAAAGCTCTTCAGAATTACAATTTTTTACACTTTTTTCCACATTTCAAAGTTCTCAAAAAAAAAACATTTTGACCAAAAAGCCAATTTTGTAGGCATGGTAAAACTACTTCCATGTGATAAAATTTTTGAAATTCTTCGATGCAATTTATAGATATGGCGTATTAATTAATACGGCTTATAACATCAGATGTCATGCAATCCGTTAGTTTTTATTTTGGTGTCTCATAAGTTTTCCTGATTTCATTCAAATTGAAATCATTATATATCAGCTTCCTACTTTTTTCAATTGAACTTCAATTAAAGATCTCGAAGAAGTCATGAGATTTTTTTATCGAATTTTCAAAATGAAAATTTTATTAAAAAAATTAAGATATTTAGGTTAATCTAATGTCTTTATATCTAACAAGTCCCAATGCTCAGAGAGAAACTTGAAAGCACGACCTTATTTTATATGGGTTTTTTTAAATCGAAGTGGCTATTTTTTGAGAAGAAATATTAAAATAAATTCACACTTATTATAAAGCAGGTAAAATTTAGAAAATATATTTGAAAAATCAAAAAAATATATTAATATTTTCATTCATAATTATTTTAAAATTCTTGAAACAGCGGAAAAACAACAAGCACAACCTTCGCCTTCAACGTTTTATATGTTACTGAAAGCATTTCATTATTTTTAAGTGAACAGCTTTTTTTTCTCATAGGGTAAGTTAACTCAAGATATGGGAAGTAACTTTGGTGTCAACTTGAAAATATAACTAATGAAAAATATGTAATTATTGAATATTGATGTAAGTACATAGCAAAGAAAAAATTTGAAGAGGGAATTAGAAAATAATATCTAAAATACAATCAAATATTATTTTTTAAATACAAATTTTATATGTATTTCTAAATTTGACCTCTATTTGTGAGAAAAATTTTTAAAACTTAATATATTACCTATAAGTAAAAAAATATTTAAAAGGTCTTGGAAAAGACAATAATATATTTTATGACCGGATTCGAATATCTTTTTTATTTTTGAAATAAATAGTATCTTACGAGTAGCAAATGACTCAAAAACTCCGATTGTAAAATGATAGGTAGTAGGTACGTTCGTAAATTTTTGTCCGTTTGCGTTTACTATTAAGATGCACACACAGGTAGAGCCATTTTATAAATAGATTGCTCTTGTTTACCTGTTTATAAAATATGAAAGAAGTGCACAACAAAATTTGTGAAGCACTCAATATAACATGTTTGAAATAGTTTTAAAATAATTATTTAAAGAAAAATGATTGGAAGTAGGTGCATTCTTATTTATTTTTAATAACTTAAAAACTAACTGAAATTATTTGAAACAATTTTATAAGTACCGTATAAATAACCGAAATGAGATAATTCAAATTGTTGAAATGTGTCAACCTATATTACTTTTACATAGATATAAAGATGGTTATGTAGATATAAAGACATTAGTTAATCTATTTAGCAGTATTGCCTTTAAGTCAAAATGTTTCTTGTACAAGCGAAGCTTTTGCTTTGCACATACGACACACACAATTCTGATATACAGCCTAACTACAGATATGTAAATAAATTAAATCATGCTTTTAGCCTTTGTATACAAAATAAGAAATAATAAACTCACAAAAGTCAAATTAGTGAGATTGTTGAGTAAAGTAAATGTGATACAAATATCACATAATGACAGCTGTTAATAAAAATAAAACCACTTGAACTTCTTTTTCAAAATAATATTATGCCGGAAATGCACTTGAAATAATCGTTTATTTCAGATTTTATGTCTTACTTTTTTGATTATATTTTTGTATGTAAAATTAAAAAATTTTAAAAATCTCATTCTGAAGTTTTGCGCAAAAAATACGACCAAAAAATTTTCATTTTGGAGATAAGTGTTCACTTTCGAAGATTTATTTATAAGGAGTATGTAGCCTACTTACATACTTTCATTACATCTGTGTTTTAGAAAGCGTGAAAATATAGTCTAAAATAACTTAATATGATCATCAGAAATTATCTCCCAGTGATCAAATATAGCAAAGGGGTTGAAAAATTTCTCTTCTAGAGAAGGAGCTTGCCGCATCAAAGTATATTATTTCTCAATACCTTTTTAACAGATAACAACGAGAACTAGAAAAAAATTTTAATCGATACATATGAATACAATATTTATTCGCTAGAACTAGAAGTTAGTTTTTTCATCAAGTTCTGGGTATTTCCAATTCTTTTCCGCGAATTGCGATATATTTTAACTCTTTAGTTCTTGTGTTTTGGTTTTACTTCACTTTTCTTTTTATTTCTCAAACTTAAAACTGAAACTATAACTGCTGATTTTACAAAAACATTTTCTTTTTTTTTCTTCATTAATTTGCTGACATACTAGCGCGCAACGGCAATGATATTTTCATTAAAATTCGTTTATTTTTTACCGGGAGGAAGGGTAAAAAAGCTCGAAAGACACAGACAACGAAAAGCAGTTGTGTGGAGCTTTAATCCACTAAAACATATCCTACTCAAAATAAATTATAAAACTATTCAGAAACGACTAACCATTAATTTTGGTCCAACTTTTTTGATTATTTACCAGTTTTTGATCTGGCACAATAGCGTACTAAGTACTCATTGTTCCAAATAAAAAACATTAACCTAACTCGAGAGCTCTCGTACGTTTTAGTCTCCTAACAAAAATTTGATTGTCAACCACTCGAGCTGCATCGATGTTGACATGATTGGATAAACGCATTTTATGATTGGTTGCTTGCTCTTTAATTTCATCTGTGTCACATAGAATCGTGAGATCCCTGTTTATATCGGCATTACGGACACACCAGGGAATGTTTACAGTGTCCCGTAACACTTTATTTTGAAATCTTTGAATAGATTGAATATGAGTCTGCGCAGGGAAACCCCATAATTGAATACCGACAGGCTTAAATATTTGATCATATATCACTTTATAACGCGGAACGCCTTCCAAAAAGCCATTTAATCTTCCTGTATTCCTCCTCGAGTTGAGCTCTCTTTTTATTTAAGTGCTCTTTCCATTTGAGCTTTGTGTCCAACGTCATTACCAAATACTTCGCCGTGTTTGCGAACGGAATCAAGACGCCATTTATCCGAACCGAAAATGAATTGTCAATTTTCCTATTAGTGAAATTTCACCTCGTTAAGTTTTATCTTCTACTTTTTAGTCCATTTTGAGATCTCCTCCGTGGCCTTTTGTAATTTTTGTGTAGATTTATTTTCATTTCATCCTATTGCAATAACTGCTGTATCATCAGCAAATGTGGCCGTTGTCGCATGTGTAACAAGTATAATATCCTTATACTCCCTTGTGGTACCCTCGATATAATATCCCTTAGTGAGAGGTACTCCTTTTCCTGTTTAACTCGAAATACCCTATTAGTCAGTTAAGATTCGAGCACGTTAACATACTGCCTTGGTAGTAATTGTCTAAGTTTTTTCATTAATCCCCAATGCCAAACCTTATCAAAGGCCTGGGCTACGTCCAAAAATATGATAGAACATTTTGTTTTCTCTTCCAGTGAATTTTCTATTAGGCCAGTTTTTCGATGAATCTGATCCAAGGTTGAGTGATTTTTTCAATGTTAATTGATGATTTGGGATTAACCTTTTACTTTCAATTATTGGTTGAAGCCTTCTCAATAAAAGTTTCTCTAGCAGTTTTGAAATTATCGGCAATAGTGAGATTAGTTCATAAAATAAGTCCATAATCCTTAGATCCATTTGTCGTTCAATCCCTAAACGAAATCTTGACCAATCTGTAGTTCCTTTTGTCAGCACAGGTTTTGCTTTTTCATTACAATATTTTCATTAAGTTTAAGAATAACCATTGAGTGATCGGAGTTTGGATCATAGTTATCATGTACCTCAATGAAATTTTTCGCAATCCTCTTTGTTATGAAAAAATTTATTAAATCCGGACACTTATTAACATGGGTTGGCCAATACGGTGGCTTCGTAGTGGAGTGAAAAAGGCACCTCGAGCCGCCAATTACTGTCTTCAGTTCTCTTCTTCTAGTTGAAGTATGCCTCGAACCCTAATCAGTGTGCTTGGCGTTAAAGTTAACCCCCAATACAAATCTGTTGCCTAGGTTGCCGTTCTCCAAACGAAAACCGATTTGTGCCTCCGGTGGCCGAGTGGTAACGCACTCGAGTGTAGAATGATAACAAACCGGGGGTCGCAGGGTCAAATCCTGCGGGGAGCGCACTTATAAAAATGATGGGAAAAACTACCTGAACAAGGTACACCTGAAGAAGGTGAGAAATTTCCCATTCTTCCATAGCGTTCCCAATATAGCCTGTTTAATAACCAATATACGTATACCTAAAATAGAACAATATCGTTAATATACAATAATTAATAAAGCTATACCTTAATATCCAATAATTCCTATAAATAATTAAAAAATAAAATAGTATACAATATAAAACTAATAAAAATACAAATAATGCGCGGCAAAACAAAACTGACAACTAACGCCAACCACAAAAATGACATCTACTATCACCGTTGACATTTGACAACCCAATAAACATCTTATCGTCAGGGATGGGTAAAAATGCTGCGACATCTGGCGGAAAAAAGGAACTGACGACGTCACTCTACTAGACGAAAGGTTGCATCAACATCAATGCATGACCAATGTAGATAGCTGCGGTAGGCTAATCACTTGACTCAGCGAAAATCAACGATTCTAGAAACGGAAACAGAGCCTCGGATAAATGATGAAGTATTGGTAACGAACTTTGACAGGCGAAATAGGACAAGAATTGGACAATGGAACGTAAGAACAATGAAGGAACAATCAAAACTAGCCCAAATCGAGAAAGAAATGATTAGATATAAAGTAAAAATACTTGGATTGAGTGGGATAAGGTGGCCAGATCAGGGAGAAATATCAACCTCGAACAATAACATCCTCTTATACTCGGGAAATCCAGCTGGCGAACATGGAGTGGGCATAATTATAGAAAAAACGCTCAGAAAGAGCTTATTGATATGGAAACCCGTCTCAAATAGAATAATATCTGCACGACTCAACTCGAAAGTGAAGAAAATCACGATTGTGCAATGCTACGCACCTACAGAAACCGCAACGGCTGAGGTCAAAGACGAATTCTATGAGCAGTTAACATCAGTACTAAGCTCTGTCCCCAAATCCGACATACTACTACTAACGGGGGACTTCAACGCGAAGGTGGGTAGCGTTAAAACTTGGCCAACAATAGGACTGCGTGGCACTGGCACACGAAACAACAACGGAGAAAGATTAAGAGATATAGCTGAACAACACGGTCTAGTAATAGGTGGTACAATATTCCCACACAAAGAAATACCCAAATACACTTGGGTATCCCCGGATGGTAGAACGAAAAACCAAATAGACCATATATGTATCGCTCAGAGATGGGTAAAGTCACTAACGGACGTGAGAACTGGGAGGGGACCGGATGCCAAGAGTGACCACATGTTCCTAACAGCAGACATAAAAATCAAACTAGCAGCCAAAAGAGTCACAGAAGGTAGTAGACTAAAGCGGCTCGACGTTCGCAAGTTGAGAACAGAAGCTACCAAGCAAGAATTTGTACCAAGTGTCCAGCAGAAAATTAGCAGACGTCAAAATTTAAATCAAAAACTAACACAGGACATATATCGTCAATCTGGTGAGGAAGTCTTGGGCACCGTTAACCATCAAAAGAAAGAATGGATCTCTGACGAAACATGGGCTGCTATAGAACAAAGAAGAATCATAAGACAACAGCTTCTGATAAGTAATGATCCGACTTTAAAAGATTCACATAGCTCAATATGTAGAAAAATTAAGAAAATGGCTAGAAAAGATAAGAGAAAATTCTACAACGACATAGCAAGAGATGCCCAAATAGCCGCAGAACAGAATAACGCCCGACTGCTACATAGAAAAAAAGATATTCTCTCAAACAAGAATCACCGGAAACTAAGACCTATAAAGGATAAGAACGGCAGTCTACTCACATCAACCCAAGAACAGCTGAGAAGATGGAAGGATTACTTTGCAGAAACCAACACACATGTCCAAAATACAGAACTCGAAGACCAAGAGCCAAATATTAGAGAAGATCCTACCATTGAAAGAGGGGCACCAACCATAAGGGAAATAGTGGAGGCAATCAAAAAGCTGAACTCAATAGAACAGAGGGAACTGATGGCATTCCTGCAGAGCTGTTTAAAGCAGGAAAAATTACAGCAGCCAACGCACTGAAGCCAATTATAGAAAAGATATGGCAAGAAGAAGAAATCTCTGGTTATTGGAAAAGAGGAGTAATAATTAAACTACCCAAAAAGGGCGACTTATCTGAATGCTGAAATTGGAGAGGCATAACAGTGCTAAATAATGTAACAAAAATAATAGCCCTAATAGTACATGCCAGGATTGTGGATAAATTAGAAAAGAATCTAAGAAAGGAACAAGCGGGCTTTCGCCAGAACCAGAGCTGTACCGAACACACAAACACTATAAGACTAATTATCGAGCAATCAGCAGAATGGAACAGTCCTCTGTACGCAGCTTTCGTCGACTTCGAACGTGCCTTCGACACGATCAGGCAAGACGCAATCTGGGCTGCGCTTAAGAAAAATAGAATCCCCATCAAACTAATAAAACTAATTATAAATGCATGAGGGAAACAGCATCACTACGAAAGGGAATCAGCTGGAAGCTCACACATAAATTACAAAGCCTGGAATATGCCGACGACATCGTTCTACTGGCTCACTCGGCCGAAGATATGCAGCACATCATAAACAAATTGGTTGAAAGAACAGAAATAATTGGTCTCAAAATAAACAAGGAAAAAACCAAGTTAATGAGAATTAATAATACTAGCCAGGCCCCCATATACGTACAGGATGTTTCGATAGAGGAGGTATCAGAGTTTGAATATCTGGGCAGTACAATTACAACAGATGGAGGAACTGCTAAAGACATAGAACATAGGATCGCTAAGGCTAGGTGCGCATTTAGCAGGCTATGGGCAACCTGGAAGTCAACTCTAATAGCACGTGGAACCAAAACAAGAATATTCAACGCATGTGTTAAATCAGTGCTGCTTTATGGAAGTGAGACATAGTTGGTGTCCAAAGCTAACATGCAAAAAATACAGGTCTTCGTTAACAAATGCCTCAAAATCATATGTAAAATATTCTACAAGAAGAATTATGAATCAAGAACTATGGCTGACGACAAAACAAGAACCAATAGAAACACAAATAAGAAGGAAAAAATGGAGATGGATAGGCCATATTCTAAGACGCCCAATAACATCGGTTGCACGTCAAGCTCTGGAATGGGGGCCCCAGGGTCGAAGAAATGTGGGAAGACCAAAAGAGACTTGGAAAGGAAGTGTGCACAAAGAAATAGAACAAACAGGCAAAACCTGGGCACAAATAAAGAGACTGGCACAGAACAGAGATAACTGGAGAGGCTATGTTGCAGCCCTATGTTCCCTAGGGGACTAACAAGGGTATCAAAAAAAAAAAAAAAAGGTCGCCGAGAACGTTTTGAAACATTTCTGTAGTTATTCTAAGTCTGGGGTGGCAGTATAATGCAGCTACTCTAAATTTTAGGTTAGTCGAAGTGATCTGAACCGCCGTCATTTGCATTCCCTCGGTCCGGATCTGGTGCAGATCACAATGCACTATATTTTCTTTTATTATTATCGCCGTTCCGTTCTTCGCTATATTTTCAGGGTGGTTAAAGTTGTAAAGTCTATAACCTCGATACTGAATCCTGCTTCTTAAAGTCATATGTGTTTCTGTCACGAGGTACATGTCTGTATTCTGTGTATGTAGAAAAACTTCGAACATGTTCTTTTTATTTGTGATACCTTTGCAATTCCATGCCGCTATTTTAACATCACCTCGTGCCATCATTTACCAGCGTTTTATGTATTCAATTTTTTTGCCTCGCTCTTCAAAATGCTCAACCTCTGAGAGATTTTGTCCATTATACCTATCAAGCTCTGCATCATATTTTGCATTTTATACAAAACACTCACGTCACTGGCTTTGTTGCTTGTGTCACTGTCATCGGTTTTCGTTTGGAGAACGTCCTTGTATGTACATCTTTTGAGACTTTTCTCGAGTTAAATTGCCTCGATGTTATCCCTACGTTTCTGCAGCTCCTTAGTTACAAGGCATCCCCTATAGTTTGCTGGGTGGGTACAATTAGAGTATCTTGCTGCAGTACTCCTTACTACAATCTGATGTTAAGTGTTTAAGTCTTCTTTTATATCTTCCGGTTTACAACTGGGATGAAGATTTCTTACAATGACTTTTACTGGTCTGACATGTTTTTTTTCATAGGTATGCCATTCTAGTCCAGATCCATTTATGGCCCTGTAATCTATTTCGGAATTTAAGGTTCCTGTAATCCATTTCGGAATTTACAATGAACTTAAATTAATTGTTGTTCACCATTTTAATTTTATAATTGATGTCTTTATTTTTTAATGTTGACTCTATTTGATTATACTCAACTACATTACTTATGACTACAGGAGGCGGTCTAGAGTTTCTCGTGACATCGCTTCGATTTTTTGAATCAGGAACATCCGCTTTCTCAGCGTTAAGCGTCACCTGGAGCACTTCCGGAGATGATTCCGCTTTTTTTTTTTTTACTGTTTTCCAATCCGTTTCACCTGCTGTGCTTGTGTTGTAACGTCTTTTTCTTTATGACTACTATCATTACAATTATTGCTTTTATTTTGTCCATGTTTCACTTTCTTAGGCTTCTCATTCGGAGTCCTCAGTTGAAGAACCTCGTTTTTAAAAGCCACACAGAGCTGTTCTAGTTGGTTAATACTTTTATGTATGTCAACATTCTGATCATCAATTTTTTTGGCTCGAGCTTTACTTATGTTTATTTCCTTCTTGGTTTGAGGAGTTTGAGTGTTCTTTAGTCCACTTTTCTAGTTTTATTATTTTCTAAAATTCGTACATCAGATGTAGGTAGTGAACGCCGGGTTTTCGCGTTCCTCCTGATCAAATCAAATTTTATCTGGCGTATCAAATCCTTTTGTTTTCTCTATTGCACAAATGATTAATGTTTGCATTTCATACCTTCTGCCAGGAGTCAAAAACTGTCGTCGCTCAGGAATCAGACGCAGACCAGGGAGCCGCCTGCTCTAGGTCAGACATTTCTGGATTTACCGCCCGCGCGCTTTCTAACCAACGAAACCCGGATTAAGCGCCGAGTACTCGCTTTCACCCGCTCTCGTCAGCCTTACTAAGTAAGTTTTCCAGGGGACACCCGGCAGATAACTATGTTACGTACTTTCTGGGAGGTGACAGTCGGATTTTTTGGCAGAGCTGATGTTTCCAAAAAGCTTTTCCTAGCATTTACAGCTTCACATGTTAGGAAAATAAGAACCCATGCCAACTAGAACCCATGCCAACTAGGACCCATGCCAACTAGGACCCATGCCAACCTTTGTCTCCCTAAATTCATTTGATATTGAGGTGAAAAGAGAATTGAAAAGTATTTTTTTCACAAAAACTCATAAATTTTCTAATTTATTAATACGTATTTAAAAAGTTGAATAATTTTAGTGCGATTCCAGTAAATGATATTTCTAGGAAAATTTGCTCAATATTGATGTGAAAAAAAAATTGACAAAAAAATTTTTCTTTCAAAAATTCATGCTGCAATTAGGCACAGGACTGCCTACAATTACATCGTTCTGTCTTTACAAGTAAAATAAAACTCTTTTTCTTCGAAAAAAAGTTTTATTTCGTACGCTACACACGCACCTTATCAAAGCTGATTTTTTTCTAATTGAAGGAACAAAAATTAAACTCTATCTGAACTAGAAATATTATACTTCACTTAATTTTTATAAAAAATTAGGTATAATATTTGTTTTGTTTCCCTTTCTTTTTTATCTTATGTGTTTAAAATAATATATGTACTATTTTGAAATTAAAATGATATTTTAGTCTGATTGGTCAAGCAATTCTTTTAAAGAGCCTTTATCCGTGTTCAACAGGTAAGGTAGAGCTTGTTGGATTTCTAAGCCTGCATGTTCTCATAAACTTCCCTCCTGTGTTTTTACCTTTTTTATTAACCTTAAGTTATTTTACGTAATTTTGTGATCCTTTTTTAAATATGTTTCCCGACAATTGAATCGAAATTCCTGTTAATTTCTTTTTTCTGTCTTTAGTAAACCAAAAAAATAACTTTTTGATTCACCTTGTTTGAGGCAAGTAACATGAAAAACAAAGTTCTACAAGTCTCATTCAGTTTATATTTTTGATTTATATGGTTAAAATGACTTTTTGGTTTTTATTTTTTTGTTGTCTCGAATCTTATGCGGTATTTAGGTCTTGTAACAGTAACGTCTATATATTTAGCAAGTCTAATGTCAAATGAGAAACTTGAAAGCACGACAATTCTTTATATGGGTTTCTTTAAATCGAAATGACAATTTTTGAGGAGAAATAACAAAGTAAATTTATACTTTATAGGCAAAATTCCGAAGTTATGATTCAAATATCAATTAAACACAATAATATTTTCATTCATAATTATTTAAAATACATGCACAAGAAGCGGAAAAACTACTAGCAGAACGCCGGTCACAGTATAAAGATTACAAGGTATGCTCACTGAAAAGTACACCATTTTTTATGTACATTACGTCTTTGTTTCTATTTGGCTTGATATTTTTATTTTAGATTTTTATTGTTTAAAGATGAGTTTTGAAAATTAAAGAGTAAAAGAAATGAATATTATATAAATTCCATTATTCCAAAAAAACAAAAAAATAAATATAAAATGTTTAAAAAAAGTACGTATAAAAAACTTATTAGTGCTGTGCTAACGCTCAATTCATCAAAACGGTAAACAATGTCAAACGCGCTACTATAGTAATATTGTACAACTACTACTTTAACTGACATTATAAGTTTTGTTTTAGAAGTTTTTTATTTTTTGCTGAATTTTTATTTTGTTTTCACAATTAGCGGGCTGCGAAACCAATTCACTTCATAACGGTATGGCTAAGGGAGAGCTTAGTCGTTAGTATGCGGACCCTGGATACCAGTGACTATATTTTCCCGCGCTACTCGTGGGAACAAAATGGAGAATGAAAGCAATAACAACAACGATAACAACAAGAACAATATCTGTGACAAATACAACAACAACAACAACAATACTAAGGATAACATTAATACGAACACAGTTAGTGCTCAAGAGTTTGC